CCTCGCCCGCCGCGGCCCCTGCTTAGGGCTCCCAGCCACGCCGCTCCCTGTGCCGCAGGGTGCCCCTGAGCCACTGCGGGCGGGGGTGGGGGGCTGGGGGCGACCCCGGCCCCCTTTGTCCGCTGCAGCTGTCCCAGCACCCCCAGGCTGCGCCCCTGGGGGGCTGCCATGCTCACGTGGGCGCTGGTGCCCTTCTTGCTGGCCGGCCGTGGCCGCCAGGGCCCAGGGCCAGCCAGCCGCACGTCGTGTCCTGGGGCGTCCTGGGTGGGGAGCCCCCTCTGCACCCTGAGCAAGGCCCTGCGGGCCTCTGCCCCTGCTACCACCTCGGCCCCGCCCTGCCGCCTCCTGCGCTCGCCCCGTGCCAGCTGCGCCCGTGGTGGGGGCTGGCAGAGGGCAGTGCTGACCGTCCTGCCTGGGCCCCGCAGGGCTGCCCAGGCGGGTGGCACTTGCCCCAGGGTGGCTGACCCGAGCGGGAGGCCGCGAGGCATTGCCGCTGCTGCTCCCCACTCCACGCTGGAGCCCTGGGTGGGGTCCGGCCTGCTGCCCGCAGCTCTGTCGGGGTCCCCGCTCTGGCCCAGGTGTGGCCATTAGGGGGCTGGGGACTGGGCCGGGGCCTCAGGCCTCCGTGAGCCCTGGAGCCGGGCGGCAGCTGGCAGGTGATGCCTGGGGCAGCCCCGGCCCCCCGCCCGGCCCCGCGCCCACCCCGTGGCCGCCAGGAGGAGCTGGCCAGCCTCTGGCCTCTCCCGGCCAGCCCCGCCCACGCCGCTCTGCTTTCTCCGCCAACACACACCTCCGGCTGGCTCCAAAGTCCAGGCTCGGAGCCCCTCACCCGGCGACCTGCCCCGCCCGGACACATCACCCCCCCCACCCCCAGCCCCTCCTGCTGGCCCGCACGGTTCCCAGGCTGCCCCTCGTCCATCCCTCGGTGCACTGTCCAGGGCTCCTGGAGCTGAGGCCGGGCCTGTGGCGGCCGAGATCGGGCTCTCAGGAGCGTCCTGTGCGGGGTGGCCAGGACCGGCCTGGGCAGCTCCAGAGGCCAGTCCCCTCTGTGCTCCATCAGGTGTGGGGGGCAGAGGGGAGGGGCGGGGTCACGGGGCAGGATGTCTGCTGGGGGGAGCAGCCCCAGCCTGAGGTGCGCCCTGCTCCCGGGCAGCCTCACGCCCGCACGGCCTCCCCTGGGCCAGGGCCCGGGGCCAGGGCAGGGCTTGGTGGGGCCGGCTGGGGCCTGGCGCCTGGGCTGAGGTTCGGGGTGGCCAGTGACAGCAGGGGTTGGGGGGCGGGGAGGCTGCTGTGGAGGTGCGGTCCTGGGGGGTGGGAGGGGTCCCGGGCCAGCGCTGGGGGGTGTCGAGGGCGCGGGTGCTGGGCTTGCCTTGCACGGAGGCCTGGG